AAATTAAAAGTTATATAAAATTATACAAACACATACAAATTTTAGTTTTATAGAAATGTTATACAAACATTTAAAAAAATGTTTTACAAATTATGTTCATTTAGATAGTATTAATTTTAATATTAAATTGTAAATTGCTTATTTTTTATGAATTATAATCTTTTATACATTGTATTTTATTAGATTGAGAATTCAATTYATTACTTAAATCGTAAATTGTACAAGKAACAGTGTTAGTTTAAAGACCAATAATTTTCAAAATATCATTTTTTTTTTTAGATTAATTTCTTCAATTACATTAGTTATGCATTTGTATACTTAACTGCCACAAATAAACCTAATTCCTGTTTTAGTGAATATAATATTTGAAATACAAAAACTAATCTATCTAAAAGTTTTATTAATATTATTTTATATTAAAAAAAAAAAAAATCATTTTGTTGGAATGAATAATTATTTTTAAGTGAGTAACTGTAATTTATGTTATTTTAATTATTTACCGAGCAAACTTTTAAATTGTGGTCAAATATTATGTTTCATAATTATTTTGAATTAACTCTTTAAGTCTTTAGTAATCCAACGACCACTTTTCATTAAAAACTCGATAATCAGAAACAGATTTTCATTTCTCTTTTCATTCTAATATCTCCAATCARCATATTTTAAACAAAAGTTTAAAAAAATAATTATAATGATATGTTTGATAAAACAATAAAATCATTCTTTAATTAACTGTTAAATTAGTATAAATATTTTTAAATTTTTACTGTCATGTGGGTAATGGCTTGTTTGTGATCTGTAGTTTAAAGATCCCTGTCCTACTGCACAGATTATATTTATTCAATAACCTAGTTTTTTTTTTTTATTTTAGTTTTATTCTAATGAATTAATAATTTTTGTTTAAAGACTTCAGTTTTTAAAACTGCAAAATGACTTATTGGAAGAATTTAGACAAAATATAATTGATGGTGAAATTGAATCAAGTGAATATTTGTTAGAAATGCTGTGTACATTGCATTACATATCATACACTCTTTACAATTGGGGAACAAATATGGTTCGTGAACATAAAATTATTAATAATTATTAGTTGTAAAAAGAAAAATAGAATAAGAATTAATTTAAGTTTTGTTTTAAATGTATGAAAATTATTAATAAGTAACTCATTTTATACATATTTTTATAATGTTAAACTATTTTATAAATTAACAATTCTAACTAAAAAGTAAAAAATGTTTTTATATAATTTGTTTGGTTTTTGTTTTAGCACTTTTTATCTCTATTAAACTATCAATGTGAATTAGAAAATGAAGTGAGAAGTAGGAGTGAAAGTGAGTTTACAGAAATATTAGAAACTGCAGACACWGTATTTGACGATTCAATAAGATTATACAATTCAGGAATAGATCATTTACTCAACTATCTAACAGAAAATATTATGACTAAAGTTAAATATAATTCAAAACAGTATAAACGTGATAGGTAAATTTAAGTTTGAAATATTTTAAGAACATTTTTTTTAATAAGAATCAATTATAATAATAAATAATACTATTTACTATTTACATTTTAAATTAGCATTAGCATTAATTATTCATAGTTTTAATATAAATATTGTATATTTTTATCCTCAATTATCAACACCAGAATACTTAATGATGTAATGTTTAATGATTACAAGCTGGAATGTCTAATACATTTTATAATCACATAAAT